AGAAGGCAGAGAAGTGGAGTCAGTGTGAAAGTACCAGGAATGCATGGGCACCTGAAATTATTGAGTTTACCTGCAGCAAGAAGAAACCAGCTGAAAATGCTAGCTAGCTCCTACAGTAAAAGGGCCTTAACTGTCCAGCTAATGAGGCTGTAAATAATTCAACTGGCACTGTGAGCTACTGGGGGGTTGTAGAGAGAAAACCAGTTGGTCACTGTTGTAATTTAGGAAGATTAAAGCTTGCCTCAGGCAGTGATGGCCATTGAGTCATCTTTTTGAACCATGGGCCCAGAATTACACAAAGAGTCACAGTGTGGTGAACTTAATACTTTCCTGAGCAGTGGGACACTGCACACACCTTTAATTTTTTCAGCCAGTTTACCTGCTCTAAGCTGACCAACAAAATAATGTTTACTCTATAAAACACATCTTTTATTGTTTAAGGTCTGAGTTGCCAGAATAAATAGCATAAACTAAGAAGTTCTGAAAATGATATTTAAAAAAAAAGTATATCCAGAGTCAACTAAAACACACAACCACTTATTCATATACTCACACGCACTGAGACATGCGCATCTTGAAATATTGACTCTAGAAAAAAAGTTTTTCTTGATGTCAGCCACTATTGTGTTGGATGAGGGAGCCAGATTCCACACTCCAGTTTGAATCCTGGCTCCAGTGGTTTGAAAAACTCTCCTGACCTGTGTGCCTGTATGCCATAATCCCCAATAGGATGGAGAAAGAGAGAAGGCCTTGTGCTATGACCATGCTCTAAGGAGGATCTCTCTCTCTCTCTCTCTCTCTCTCTCTCTCTCTCCTCACACACATGTCCACACATGCTCATGCATGTGCCCTCTGGCAATTAAAAAAAGAAAAGAAAAAGACAAAAAGTTCTGTCTAGACTCATTTGAGACAGAATTAACACTTGGTTTACTTCTTTGCAAAAACAAACTATGAAAGCTAAGTACTTCATTGATTACCAGTCAGAATCTTTATGAGAGCTACATTGGAAGAAATCAGTAACTCTTGCACTTTAAGGCTTTAAATGAACATTCATTCTGTCTGTCTCTATCTACACACACCCATACACATATATTACCACTTCCCCATACAACATATGCACACAAATGGTACCTGAATAATTTAATTTCAGAGCAAATGATACCAAATTCCAAGTAGAATATTTTAATATATTATAATAATAATATTTTAATATATTTTATTTGCCACCATGTTAGAATTGTATTGTCCCCTTACCAGGAATATAAACAAAGATTTTATGTAAAAATTTTAAAATGCATAAAAGATGAAGCAGAAGCAAAACAAATTAACCACAGGAAATATTCAAGTAAGAAATATTAAAACTGAATATTATGAAAATTCAGTAAATATATGTTAAAATGTATCACTGAAACAAAAAATGAATTTGACTTTTTAGCTCCCTTTTAACCATTTATTCACCCAAAAAGGAATTTTTAAAAACAATATAAAAAGTTTACTAGTTCTCAAAAATTAAATCTTAATTAGTGGCATACTCCCTCTAGCGACATTTAGCCGCACTGTTTAATAATGGTCTGTATTCAAAAGAAAAGTGATACCAAATAATTACTTTTTTAAAAGGTCATTTGAATTATCAATATTCTTTTTAAAACTAAAATAAGCGTAGAGACAAAAAATAAATTCACTGAATATCCATGGGTTTCTAAAAAATGAAAAGCTGTCTTTTTATTCCAGTATCCATCCTATATTGAGTTATTAGGATAATCTAAAATATCAAGAAAAGAAAATGCTTTTGATATTTTAGAAATGCAACATAAAATTAATTTGGGAAATTAAAGTCAGGAATAAAGGATAATAAGCTTCTTCTTGGAACTTTTCCATCTTAGTCATACGACCTTTTATGTGGAAACTCACACAAGGGATGACTCAGCCTTACAGTGTGGGTCTGTTTAGAAGTGCCATAAATATATTAACCAATAAATAGAGATGAATTCAATAACCATTTTTGCTCAAGCAAATTCTCATATGTTTCTGAGTTCCATTCCAAGAGAGGATGCTGAATGGCTGAATGCTCACGATGAAACTCTAAAGTTCTGATTGGACCACACATTATGAAAACTGGCACCAGAAGCAAAAGAAGCAGTCCAAAGCCTCATGCCGTACAAATCTGTAGACTACTAAGACTGAGATAAAGACAAAAAGTTTTCCTGTGCTGCACATCAGCTAATGAGGCTGCAAAGACAATGAGTGATCTCAAAAGGAGAAAGGAAAGTATCCTACCTTTTTAAAAATTCCATATACTCTGTATGCTTGATGAGTCCTGTCCTCATCATTATGGTTTGAAAACATTGTCGATCAATGGCCCAGAGTTTCACATTTACAAGAGCTGAAGGAAAAGAAAAATAAAATGGGGAAAATTAATATGAGAATTGGCACTGTGTACAATATTCTGCAAGAGATGAATTTTCATGAGAAGTATAAAAATGATTAACCTCTTACACGTATTTAAACCTAATATAACACTGTCCTATTTCATTAAAAGTTATGCATGCTTCTAGGCAAAATGTAGTTCATCATTTTCCATACCAGTATTATTATCTAGCAGGAAGGTTCCTGTGGCTCTTCTGTTTCCTATGGGATGAGATGTCTCACCACACATCGAAAGTACTTAGAATTCAAGACTACATGTGAAGAAAATAGTGTGAGAGAAAAAGAGTTTTGCAAGAAATAACACTCCTTGGTAATTATTCAGAATGGTGTTAATGACTCATAACTACATTTTTCTTGTAAGCAGTAGGTAAAAATTCAATTTTCAAGCCCAGCAGTAGCATCTGGTAGATGCTACTGGTAGGCAGACTGAAGTTAGGTGAGAGACCAGGGTTCAATTCTTGCCCCATCCTACAAAGTCAGGCATAGAGGTGCAAGCTAATAATCCCAACTACCTTGGAGGCTGATGCAAGATGATTATGACATAGTGAGACCCTGTCTAAAAATTAGCAAAATACAGCGCCAGATGTGTAGCCCACTGGTTCAGGGAGCAGGATCCCACCTAGCTGACCACGGTCCAAACCGTGGATCTGGTAGCTTATAAAACATGCTGGGCATGTTTATGTGTGTGCTCCAAATTCCAACTGGATGGGAAATGTAGGAGAAAGAATTGCGGTGTGATCATCGTTGATTAGGGAGGGCTTTTCCTTCTCTCTTTCTGCCCCTCTGTCTCACTCTGGCAAGCATATACACCCTCTGACAATTAAAAAAAAATTAAAAAAAATACCATACACACATGCACACACATCAAATAAAATCAATTTTCAGGTCTGAGGGGAAATTTAATATAGTAGAAATAATAATTACACAGTGATTGCAATACAAAGTCCATTTTACAAATTGCAACCTATATCCAAACTTGCCACAGAGATGTTGTATTAAATTTTTGTTAAATTTTAATTTCTCAGTGCTGACAGGTGGCACCGTAGTTAAGATGCTGGACTTCCACATGGCTGACCGTGGTTCAAGTACTGAACCTGGTGGCTTGCTTTCTCCCTCTCCCTTCTCTCCCTCTTCCTCTCTCTCTGTCTCTCTCTGGTCAAATTTAAAACATATTAATGATAATAATAAATAAAATTAACTAAATAATTATTTTTTAAAAATTTCTACCTTTATACACCAATATCTTCAACAATGCATAATTAAGTATTGAAGCTGAATACTACAAAATTAATCATTTGACCTACTAAGAACATGCTTCTTAGATAAGTATTAGAGAAAGACAGATGCTACAATATGTAAAAGTCAATACGTCAAGATAAACTGGTTTTTAAAAGAATTATTAATTTAATTTTATTTATTATTATTTTAATTTGACCACAGAGAAAGGGAAAGTGAGAAAGCAAGCTGCCAGGTCCAAAACTCAAACCATGATCAGCCATGTGGGAGTCCAGCACCTTAACCACCACGCCACCAACTGGCTCCAAGATAAACAGCTTTTAAGAAATGAGCCCACGAGGGCTGGCAGGTGGCATAGTGGTTAAGGGCACTGGACTCCCACATGGCCAATCACAGTTCAAGTCTCAGACCTGGAGGCTTGCTTTCTCACTCTCTCTCTCTCTCTCTTTTGCTCACTCACTCTGTCCCTCTCTGGGGACAGATGATTTTTTAAAAAAATCATCACAGTAAAAGTTTTTTGGATTAGAATCTATATGATGGGTATATAAAAGTTATTTTTTTTCTACTTTCAGATAAATTTTCATATTTTTATATATTATAGAATAGTTTCAGTTAGCATACAAACTAAAGAAAACCAATTCATATATTATACCCATGGTTTTGGGGCAGAGAATGTGTGTGTGTAGGTTTGAGAAAGGCCAGTGAATAGAACCAAGATACAGTTTAATGAATCAAGCATGGAAAAACGTAAGAATGCAATTCTCTATTTCTCTCATTGCTCAGAAGAAGCCCACTGAATGCAGTAGATCGAGTCTGGGAGTGAAGGAGAGAGAAGATGTAACCAGAACACTTAGGACATATGTGTATGCCTTGGCAGAGAGGCTCACAGTAACATGCAAGGAACAGGATAAGATGATGGGAATATGGCACCCCACAGTAAACCTTACTTTTGTATTTTTTCTTTTTTTTTCTTTATAGAATTATTTGAGGCTAAGAAGCTAGACTATAACTTCTATCTTGGCCAGCTCTTTATAGGAGAAAAAAAACATAAGTTTAAAAAAAAAAAAAAAAGAACTAAGCAATAAGTAGTGGTATATGCATCATCCATTCCAAACTTCTTTTAAAAATGACACTTCTTTGGGGCCAGCCCATGGCCTGGTGCTTAAGGGAACCAGATCTCATGTGACTCACTATGAGGTTTGAGTCCTAGACTCAGTGGCTTGAAAAACACACTGGGAACATGTGCGTGTATGCCCTAATTCCCCGCAGGATGGAGAAATGGCAGGGCAGGGATAGTGATGTGATCATACCCCACTGGTGGTGGTGGTGGGGAGTGCTTTCGCCTTCTTTCTTTCTGTCTCTCCATCTAGTAAGCATATAGGTTCTCGGACAAAATTTCTTTTTAAATGACACTTCATGCAAAACAATGTGGTCAGAGCTATTCTCGAGCCACACTCCAGTTCATCTGCTGAATCCAGACTCTCTTCCAGAACACCTGTTTATGTGAGACAACCCACTGATGGGATGACATAGCCACAGAGGACTGGGAAAATCAGGAAGAGATTCCTAAGAGGTGGAACTTAAAACATGGTAGAAGTTGAGCCAGAAGAGGGCTGGGCCAAGGTAACTTTGGTATGGAAAGTACATTAGCAAGGAAAACTGCGAATGAGCTCAGGAGACCAATCAGGGATGAGAGGCTACAAAGGCTGAGAGTTCTTAGAATGGCTACATAGTTTGAGAGTAAATTGCTGCAGAGCCTCAAAGACAGGAGTATGAAGGCAGGATTAATCTGATAAACAATAGAAAGCTATGAGAGAACTTAAAAAGATTGAACAAGACCAGAATTTAAAAGAACCCTATGAGCAAAAGACAAAACAAGACCAGAATTTAAAAGAACCCTATGAGTACATCAATACACCTTTAAATGCTTATGAGCAAAAAAATAAATAAATAAAACAAAACATTTCTATTTGCCATCATTCTTAATGGTTCTCAGGTATCTCCTAGTATACATATGGCTGCCACCAAAGGACATATTAGGATTTATCAGCTATTTTATCTTCAAAAAAATAGTTGTGGGCCAGCCTGGCAGCTTGGAGGTTAAGCCTTGTATATAGAGAGCCAGATCCCACATCACTGACTGTAGTTTGAATCCTGGGCCGCAGGCTGGAAAAGGATGTCAGCTCCGCAATCCTAAGTGGGTGGAGAAATAGAGAAAAGGGTTAGAGTGACCACGCCCATTGAGAGCTCTCTCTCTCCCTCTTTCTCTCTTT